GTATTACGAGCAGAGCATGTTCATGAAGGATGTCTTACTTCCCTTGATCGATGAAGTGTCAGCTGTGTTACCGCTTTCTGGATACTTGGAAGAAGGTGCAACAGAAAACATTGCCTTTTGGGACAAGGGAGGGCAGGAGTGGACGGCATCTAACAGGCTGAAGTTCTACATGTCAAACTATCGAACGATGGTGCAGTCTCCATCAACTTGCTGCTCTCCTTCGCTAGCTGCTAGCGAAGATTCGAGTAGTTCCGCCATTCATCTGGCATCTCAGATGGTAACCGAAGTGGAATCGTTGTCGAAAGTGATGGCTCGTTACGAACGCAAGTACGAGACAGTTCTGGGGAGTATGATTGCACTGGCTTACAGAGGGCAAACTTGTCCAATGAACCTCGAGGAGCAACACTTGTCCGATGTCCATAATCACTTTAAAGAGCAGGATTGGTATAGGTCTCATGCAAAATGATACCGACCTTGGAACATTAGGATAATGCATGCGTTGCATGATAATTGATTCCCAAATGCTTCTGTTGTGATGCTGAACTAGAATTTTGTTTTAGTGGATTGATGTTTTCGACAAAACAAGAGAGCGATCCAAGGTTGAGAGCTCAGAAATATAAATAATGACTGATTGTACGAATTACACCGCTCGAAACTCGTGCGAACCCTTGGGATAATCTCACCCTTCTTTTCAATGGCTTCATAAATCTAGTCGTCGAGCATACTGGATCAACGAACGCCATTCTGAGGAGCGAAAACCATCCTACTGCCCAGATGTACAAATGGCTGGATTAGGAGAAATTATCGGTCGACTCTGCATTCGCTCGACTGGAAGGAGACTGGCACTCTCATTCTTTCAATTAGACCGGACGATGCTTGGAAGATCAATCAACGCGAGGTTCTCACAATGTGAACCAGTCATTTCGACACTCACAACATCGCGGCTCCATATGTTGAAGATGTATTTTGAGATATTTGGAGAATGGAGAATGAGGAGCAGAAACACGAAACGAGGCATTAGAGAATGGGTCATCGTGCGTGTACGATTGAACAGTGCCTGACAATAATGTGAGAAGAATTGACAAAATCAAAGCAAGATGAATACATAAGGAGAAGTGAGCTGAATGCAGTCATAGCAAGATTCCAGATGCTGTATATTGACTGAGAAGCACGAATAGAAAGTAGAGTAACGACTTTAGCTCACAATCAATTGCAAGACCGATAGATTTTACTTCTAGGGAGATTCCAACAGCTCCATCAATTTCCGTCATATTCATGATTGGCTCAACACTTTCAGATTGAGGATTTCCACTCGGAAGACCTTGGAGGAGAGATCAAATCTGAAAGAATGCTAAAACATTATATTTTTAGTTATGAAATATGAGAGTATTCAAAATTAACATGCAGGGAATTTTTAGCATCAACTGAAAGAAGCATGATTGAATCATGCTACAAGTAACACACTCGCGTTGAAGTTGGTGAGCTAGTTCGCTTTGGGAGAATCGGTGGCAAGTCTACGGTTGCCATCGCGCTCAACGAGTAGAACGAGGTGTTTTGAAGACGAAGGGCCGCTGTGGACGGCGATGGCAGCGGCTTTCTCTGTAGTTCTCGCGTCGGTGACCTAGCTCGTCTTGAAAAAGCTGGTGCAGAGTCACAGGATCCCAAGGTGCTCTCTGAATGGAACGAGTAGTGGAATAAGTAACCCCGGTCGCTTAGCTAGATGGCGATCTCGGTGGAGATACTGCACGAGGGGGCATCTTTGGGGGCAGCACATTGGAGTCGGTCGCCCATACCCAGTAAGCCACGGGTTCAAGGAGCTCGTCGTGTTCTGAGCGAGTCATCGTTCTTCTATCCAGTGGCTCAACGTGCTCTGTGAGAGTTATTGCTCTTGTTTCCATCGTTGCATCTATCGTCACGTCATCCAAAGCGAAACTCTCATGGACCGGCAGCTCAGATGAACTATGCAAGCGGGAGAATTTGCCTTTCCTAGATGGGTGCTGTGAAAAGGGTCACTTCCCCTTGGAGCATATCGACGCTTCGGTTCTCCGTCAAAGTGAGCACAACTAGTCCGACTGTTCCGCGTGAGGAGGGCCTTGCTTCGTCTTCCCGGTGATATAGCAGCATTGAGTCTAATTATTGTAACCTTCTTGTTCTCTGCACTTCTTCGTTTTGATCTCACAATCTGAATACGATTTTCGGCACCCATCACCATGGTTCTGGATATGAATCTGAACACAGCCTCTCCCCCAACCCTAGCTCAACAGTTCTGACCAACGCCGACTCAACAATGATGTAATGAGGTGGTTGAATTCCATAGGTAACATGCTGCTCACCGAGAGTACTCAGTGCTTCAGCCAAAGACTCCATATCGTTTCCAAGCATCACATCGAGCGCTTTTTCTAACATTGTAACAACGGCATTGGTATGATTTTGAAACGCTGGAAGCTTGAACAGTGTTTCGGGAAGATGATAGCAGTCTGCTCCTTCTCCGAATCCGAACATATTGATGGCACCTGGTGATAGGGTGAATATCCTGAGAGTCGTAGCAAAGCAAAGTAAAGGTTAAATCATGATCATGTTGCTGGCCTGTAGGCAAATAAGTGTTCCCTATGCGGACTTACGCTCGAAATAGCAATTCGCCTACGAGGGTCTTGTAGTCCGGCAGCCCTTGAACAGTCTATGATGGGTTGGTTGATGAGAAGAAGAGAACAAAATGGTGAGATACGATCTCATATGATTTCCATACTGTAGCTCGAGGTTACACACAGGACAACATACCTTCCAGGAGGCGACAGCATTCTCGATTGACTCGCTGTATAGTTCCATTCTTGTGAATTCTTGTAGCAATGGATGTGATGTGAATCTTCTATCTTGGTTCCAGAGAACGCATTCACTCTCACTGGAGCTAGTCCTACGGTCAACGGGTAAAACAGGAGAATTTTGCTTGAGAGTATTTTTCCGATTTTAGTCCCGATTTTACCGGCAGGGATACCCCGCAGTTTGTCCTAGATCCGGGTTTCTATTATTTCTTTTTAGTCCGTGTGGTCATTTTCACCCTTTTCTGCATTAGTCTCTCATGATGAAATTGACTTAGGGCAAATTAAAAGTG